TTCCCTTACCATAGCCATCTCTTCCTTCTTCTTCTCCGCCTTCGTCTTGTGCATAGACATTCAAGGGTGCTGCAACCAACACGAGTATCACCACCTGTGGATGGCAAAAGCAAATCTCAAAACAATCTCACGTGTATGGTGATTGCAATTCACTCACTGACACGTGTGGGTATTGTAACATATTCTAAATTAAATTTACCCCACTTGCTATGGTCAAACAGCTAGAGCTAGGATGATGATAAGACGGCTAATTAAACCTCACTCACAACATGTTCGAAGCACCTGAAATTACCTATATTACGCATGAGCGCCAATCGCTAAAGCAACAGAAATGTAAATATTTATTACATGAACTCTGTTCAGGGAGTATATAAGTACAGTAACACTATCTTAACGTAAATAATGTATGATCAGAATTTTACCCGCATTTCCAGGATATAACGCTAAAATCACGGAACGCATCTAACTGTCTTCTTTACGGTCGCTGGATATGATTTTTTATGTTGTTTACTTATCGAACAAAGTTTTTACGGTGGCCTTTCAACCAGAATATATCGCTCCGATCAGAATATGAATTCTTACTATTAGTGCCATGCCAAGCACAGTCCACTTTAATCCTGGAGAACGCATTTTCTCTGCCGTCTCTATCGCTGTGGCTCTGCTCGCTGTGATGTTGAAGTTGGAGATCTTTGCCTATAAAACCAATAAGTACGGAACACATCGCAGCGCGTGGTATGTGTAGCCTTGCTAATAGAAATTAATAACATAGATGCTAGTATGTGATACTAGCATGGATACATTAATACAATCGTCGTCGTAGGACAACTCCGACTATAACTTACCTTGCAATATTCTCTGATGACGTAGTTGTTACGTGGTCAACAAAATAATGATATTGGTTGGCGCACAACACTCCTTTTAAAGAAAATTAGGTAGGACAGAATATCGTTCCGCTTCACACATGATGCTCAAAATTAAAGTTTGTTGATCCTATGACACCAATGTGGTTCGGACCATTTTCCTCCAAGCAAAAGTACGGCACATACAAAAATGTAGCAACATGTTTTTAATGATGGGTTTGTAACAACATGCTAAATTTATTTCGAAGATTTGCGCGTGACCGCGGCACACGCGGCGATATAGCCAATATACGCTATATATATATGTCGCTAACATATACAGAGTGTGTATACCATTGTGTTTTCGTGTTGTGACGTTGCCCCGCACTCGGTGCAAAAATTGTCCATTTTTTTAATGTTTTGAACGTGGAATGTGAAAAAAATAAAACTGTGAACAAAATAGCCCAGGCAACGTGTCATGATCTGTAGAATGTTCCGCCCAAGTTTGGAGAGGATCCGTTGAGCGGTGCGGAAACGTATAGCCGGACACACACATACACAGAAATTCCCCAATTCATAGTAAAGCCTAGGACACACTGTGCGATTTTCTACGCTGGCCGCTTGCAATTCGCCGATCGATAAATATGGTGCCGGGTCGAAAAGCCGGGCGGAAATATTCAACATTATTTTACGGTTACATTATTGTATCTACGCGGTGGCGTGCGTGTGCCAT